ATCTAATAGAAAAAATGGCGAAAAATACATAACAAATGCGCGAAGTAGTGGAGCATCGTTAAAGCTCTCTATAGTACAACGGAACAAACTGTTATTGAAATTTTTATTCTTTCAAAGAACCAAATAGGAACGTAACAAAGTGAAAAGAAAGCTACACGATCACATCCTTCTAAGTTTGTACCAGTCCTCGACGATGGGAAGCAACACATGATGGACTGCAAAACTTCAACTCCATGTACTCGAAACCGGATCCCGTGTACACTACTCCGCACTATAACCTTTGCAAGATCATGAGAGAAATCATGCAAGAATAAGATGTAACTTGTGAAGATGAGACAATTACCGACCTGTATACACCTGGGTCCACCCTCAAGTCGTGCTAGTCTCGCCTCAGCAGCAGCTGCACGCTTTTCACGATCTGACATCGCCAAGAATGCCGCACGAGCAGCCTGAAGAGCAGAATTCAATGAATCACGTACTGATATTTTCTACCAAAAATGCCACGTCAGCTTAGAAACAGCAGGCTATTGAATCCCGTGTTGTGAAAATATATGAAAATCACATACCAGTTCTTCTGCCTCTTTCTTTTCCGCCTCCTTTTTAATTTTGATCTTTTCTTTTTGCCTTTGCTTTTTCTCCTTTTTCTTTTCAGTCAGTTTAGCGAGCTGTTCGTCCGTAAGTTGGGCTGGTTCCGGTATATGACACCTATCAACAAATGACTGTTAGCCACTGTCTCTTCATGAAAGAAATATCCTATAATATCAGCTGAAAGAAATAGCTTGGTGAAAAAGCGCACCTTATCCAATTCCAGCTCTCTGGATGCTCAGTGCGAAATTGGACGAAAACCTGCTTTATGGCTTTGTTCGCCGATGAAGCATAAGGGACCAAGTCGTTCTCGTCTTTGAATGAAGGATCACACCCAGCCTCTAGCAGATACTAAAAATAGCGAACGTTAAGAGAAGAGTGAATTGAAGACCAACTTGCGCTGTCTTTAAGTTCTGTGGATTTATTCGGTCAATGTCCCGGCTTCTTCGCCATCATGAGAGACTAACAAGAGCAAATAAAAAAGAGCAAATGGCATTTGGTCTCTTGGGCATCGTGACAACACTAAAGACAGCCTCGATTATGTAATAAATCAGCAGCGGTATCGTTCAATAAGGATGACTCTCTCTGTCACCTTGACAGGAGATCGCACCTAAACTACATCTACGCCAAAACTGCGCGCTACTATCAACATCCGTTGGCGAGCTCAACTTTAGTTATTTACTTTATTTATTTTTATACACTCAAAATGCGCCCAAATAGACTAAAATGTCATATCTACGGATATTAGAGAAGAACGATGGCATAACCTTGAAATAGGCGTCATGTCTTAG